TAAAAGTTAAATATAGACAAGATTAATCAAAAATTACTAATATTACCAATTACAAATATGTAAATTATTGACTGTATTCATAATTTTCATTCTTTTCCTCAGTATGTAACGTAAAATAGTTTACGAACAATAAAGATCAAGCTTAATAAAAATCATTTACTGTTACTTCTAAAGACAAAATCTATTGACCTACGTAAGGGGATGTTCATAAACTTCGTAACCCAAAGAGGGGTGGGTTGGGGTCAGGGCCCAATGACATTGTGCATATGTGGCACATGTTAAAGGGGGTGGGTAGGTGTCCAGAAAACCAAAAATTTGGGGTTATGGAGTTTATGAACATCGTATAACTTGCAAAAGAATACCAAGGAATTATGCATTAAATACATTTGTAACTTACCAAAAGATTGAGTACAGCTTAATCGCAGCAATCCATTCAATAAGGAAACATAACAAGTCGAATTTATTAAGAAGGGGAGCACCGAGCACAACGCTGTAACGAACACACCAACAAATATTATCGTAAACATGACCATCAAGGATTCACTTTTGCTCGAAAAAATTGATACCACGCCGTTTAAACATACTCCAAAAATTATTGCGAAAAAGAGGCCAATGTTTTTACTAAATGGTTTCCCAGAATGCTGAAACCTTCTACTTCTACAATTATAAACGATTGGATATATTCCAAACTTCCTTAAGACTTTTAGGTCGAAATCTATCAAATAAATTGAAGAACGCAACATTTTAAATGAAATTTATTCTCTCAGAGGTGATACTTAATACGAAATTGACCGGACAGTGAACATTTTTAATTACTAGTTTAATCGACACGCCGAACTGCAAATATTCGCCCGTACTTGGTTTGTTTGGAGTTTGGTTACATACCTATTTGCTCCTCACATCCGCTTATCTTCCAGGACAAACAATTTGCACATGTGCCTTCAAATATTTGATTGCCAAATGCACAGACGTCAGGGGTACGAAGGAATAATAAGAAACATTTTCTTTATAACTTATGTGTCGCTCCCAAAGCACGGAAATCATGCATGAAGCATTAGGCCCTATCTTTTATTAGTCGATGCAGTCACTAGAAAAACTGGGTATGCTTATCGTGGAGCTCATTGTTTAAAATTTTGCATTCTCCACTAACATATACGGTCGGTATTTGTCATATTTGTTACCCAAAAAACCCAACCGGAAACCCAAAAAACCCAAAAACCATATAAACCCAGGGTACCATTGCACCATTTAAAATGTAACTACATCCAATGATATTCATAACTACGGAAATATGCTTGTTTATTATAGGGTCTCACTAAATATGTATGTATAATCGTCACACCAAACTCTATTTTCCTTAAATCAAAAAATAAATAAAATTTTCGCTATCTTGAAATTTCGAACCAATTTATTCTTTATTTTTAAATACAGTTATTTAGGCAAGTAAATTTGTATACTGCACACGAATGTTACTTAATTATCCTACTCATTTAGAAAGTTAACAACAAATCAATCGTATAATTCACAATTTTCCATAAAATCGATGTCATCCAAACCTTCGTCACAGGCCGAAAGGGTCCCACGTTTATCGCCACCTTTCTCAGTGACCTGGCTAATCTCATCTCGTACCTCGATAAGCACTTACCTCTCAGCAATTTAAGAAATCTACTCGAATCTTCCCATATCATCGCCGCCTGTGGCAAGATCGTCACCAAACCGACAAACCCGATCATGCTCGTCACAGGAAATGTCAAATATAGAAACGCCACCCGAACAATACTTGGCAACCTTATCGTTAAATAATTTGACAAAATTATGATACACATCCCAAAAAATATTAGAGGTGGGACAATAAAATAACCGAAATTTTGATTCATGTAGAAATTCCAAATTTGCAATTCTCTATAAATCTTGACAACCCGGGTTTGAGAATTGGTCAACTTTTCGAGAAAATCCATGCAGGACGTGAGTATTTGAGTCGATCCTTCCAAAACCATGAGCGCCATGAGGGAAAGTCCGCATAACGACTTTGCTAATTCCCATCCGACCAAGGTCAAAATCGAAATTCTGACCAGAAATAAAACCAAATTATATCCTTGGAATATAAAAACTTGTCCAAGTACGCTGAGCGGATCTATTTTCAGCAAAACAACACCCGCAGCAAGAATGGGTGGAAATAATGGCGAAATTTGAACAACCATGTATAAAGCCAAATCCAAAATTCTATTTTTTGTAGTTGACTCGCCACGAATTTTACCGAGGGCTGGAATTTATCAAACGATTTATGTATGATTTTTCGGATTGAAAACCAGATGAGTTAAATCTGATATCTAATGACGTTAAAGGATTATTTTCATTTTCATTTTCATGTAATACAGGGTAGTTTAAATGTCAGGTTACAATGGAAAATTTTTCAATACAAAAAATTCGCAAATCTCTATTAGTTCCCGAAAATCTGCCTCTGAAATTTTACATTTTACGAATTTTGTCATCAGTGTTCCATAAGTTTTACTAAAAATTAATAAAAATTTCAATCCCAAATCCGTAACTAATGGAAATTTACGAATTTTTCCCATTGAAAAATTTTCCATGGTAACCTAACATTTAAACCACCCTGTACATATATAATTGAATTAATAAAATAAAATAAATCCTGTCATGCATTACCCGAAATTCTTGCCCGAAAGTCGATAATTGGATTAATCACGCGACATATTGAATCAGCTCGGAAAGCAACGAGACCGCTGGGAGAGATAAAAATGGGTAAAAGGCAGACAATGTAGAACATAGCGATGGTTCTGAACAAGTCGGACATGTCGTCTAGGCCAGTTTTTGGATAAACTGCACGCTTAAGTTTAACCGAGAGGAGGACAAAAGTGGTCACACTGTAGGCCATAAGAAGGATGCAGGAAACTTTGAGAAGGAATCTTTTCCGACCGGGACAATTTCCGAGATATACTTTCCTTTCATCTAACGAAATTACGAATGGGAGCGTACGTTTATAAATGGAAAAGTACTTTGCTAAAATTTCCCATAATTCGGGGGACGAGAAGGCAGTGGGTTTCCGAAGTTGGATTAGATTCCGAGAAATTTTAGTTTTCCACATTTTCGATTTGTTTTCTGTATTTCACAGAAGGTTAATATTCCGTTTTCTAAGTTGCACTTCGCACCTATAAACTTGAGCAGGTTTGCGTTGGAGCAAAAGTACAAACCAATAGCTTAGGCTTTCTGGAAGATTTTCCAGTATGTAAATAAGTCGATGACGCAGTTTAATATTGTTTTTTTCAAGTTTTTAGTCCGATATGGAATTGGTAATGCGATTATCTTATTAAATTTGCCCAAAAACTTCCTCAAACATGAAATAAGACGGAAAACACTATTAACCTTGTTTGCCTTTATTCGAAATACGGATATGGGTACATAATTGATACGAATCTTAATCAGATAAGGAGTAAGTACCTGAGCTTGACATAATGAAATAGTTTATACAAGACGTATGTACACCCTTAACGATGATGTTAACGTTTTTGCAAGTAAATACACTCTGAATGTGATATTTATATATTTAGTACGTTATTCTAAATTCCGAGTAAACGTTCTGTTTATTAAGCAATTCTAGATTTATCATACATACATTCTTAAGTTGATTTAGAATTAAGAGCAAATGTATTTTGAAAAGGAAACATAATTTTTAAGAGTGTATTCTACCGTTCATTAGACCTACATACATACATATGTACGTACATACGTATAGTAAAATATGAATACCACTCATGTTGCAATATTTACCTATTTTATTTTACCTGTTTTTATTTTTGTCTGATCAGAACATTACATAATCTGGTCGCAATTTGGATTACAATGGTGATACGGCTTTGCATCAATTCCCTGCATGGGGATTATAGGATCGAGGATCCTTTGTATATTGAAATTGTATGTCGATTCAGACATTTATGAAGAACTACTCGTATTCAGGATACTCAAAACAAGTAAACACATGTGTATACTTAAAGTAACCTAATCTAAAATTATTCGCCCCTCAGCCTGCTGAATTTTTGATACCACTCAATTTTCCAGAAATCTTCTGAATTTGATAAATTTTACAACTTGTCCTTGTTAATTTACGAAATTATGTTCATTTTCCATTCCTGAGCATGATTAGAGTTCCCGTTTATATTTAAAATCTCTTCAATACAATGGAACTTTGTAGCATATTTTGGCGACCTAAAGGTACTGCTCCCTGTTTCAGGTAAATATTGTACTTAGTAATAGCGCTGTATAATTATTATTATTATATTTTGATTAGATTTCAATTGATTTAAATTCATATATGTATGTACATATTTTTAGGGATGAACTCGAACATTGTACTTCGTAATTAAGAGTCTTATTTATAAATTACTCCCTTTTGTAAAGGTATCAAGTCATTACTACATTATACATTTTGCAATAATTTAATTGTAAACTTACTATTTTTGCTATTATTATTTTATTTTTGCAGCCTGATGAAAGATTATGAGACCAGTCGCCACTGCAGAATTTCCAATAAACAGATCTTTCCATTCGTTTGAAGTGTTTTATTTCATTCAAAAACTTGTAAACGTTTTGCTCTGGGATATTTTACGCTTTGACAAGTCAACGCATGCTATGGGGGATTTTACGATTTTTTTCTAATCTGTATAAAGATTAGTTCGCTTCACGTAATAAAAATGTAATACTTTTGTGTGGAGGATCGTCCTCCACTGGATAATGCATACATATCCCTTCATAACCCAACTACTTATAAAGACGGATCAGAGATAAAATTTTATGCGCATAAGTCAAAGCTTATCATTGATAAATTGTTGCAACATGGACATACCAAAGCTGGCTTAGAAACGAGACACCGACAACATGAAATCAAACATTTGCTTGGTTTTATGGGGGATTTAGTGTAATCAAAGTAATAAATAAACAATGGTCTACCCAACTTCACAAAGTTTTCCAACAAATTAATTCCCAGTGACTATTTGACCTTTAGTCATTTGCCAACTTTGCTCCGTAACTTATTCAATTTATATTAGTGTCCAAGACATACATATTGCAGCGTATTTCAGCACTCTTAATAATCTGGTAAAGTCACGCAGGTAATAACTTATCGGTAATAAAGTTGGTAATAATATTTTACCAGGGAGTAAAAATTCGTTACCATGATGGTAAAACTTTATTGCCAAGCCATTACCACTTTGGTAGAGTCATATAGTTGTGCTTTTTGGTAATGTTTATTACCAGATTATTTATGTACAGTAGATTAGCGCAAGAGATTAACATAATGCAAGTTATCCACCGCGTCGCAGCTTTTCATGTCGTAAGTTATTACATAATCGATTACGTTTTTACATATGTACATAAGTTCATTATTTCTTAAATTCCAACCACTTCAATCCACAGCTCATTTGCTGTGTTGTAGTCGGAGTAAACGCGTACTATTACACGGAATATAAAAAAATTAAGGACGAGGTTGGAGAATATGCAAACGATGATTTCATTAAGGGGCTAAGAAAATGGGTAAATTTGGGAATTATTGGCATGGCGGTGGGCTGTTTACAATTGCTGTCAGTCGGAGCGTGGATGCCGCTTCTAACTTCGAAACGTGAAGTACCGGTGAGTCGAAAGTTAAGAATTTTTGGGTTTGCTAGAATTGTAATTTAATTTTTAAAAAACCTCACACGACGGATACTTACAATGCGATGGTGTGAAGTGTAACCCTCTGATCTGGTTTAAATTTTGAAATTACGTGGTCCATGTCAATACAACCAGCGTTTCTTCAGGCAGTTTGTGCGATGGTCAGAATTTGCCAAAATATTTTAGGTCAAAATTGAAAAACTGGCGATTTTTACCAGGCGGAGGAAGCTAACTCAACTTCCATTCTCTTTCCATGCTAAAAATTGCACATTTTTCGACTTTGTTCTCAAATATTTCGCCAAATTCTGACCATCGCACAAACTGCCTGAAGAAACGTTGGTTGTATTGACATGGACCACGTAATTTCAAAATTTCAACCAAATCGGAGGGTTACACTTCACACCATCGCATTGTTAGCAGTATTTACGATAACTTATAATTGACTTGTGCATAGATGAATTTCCACCCTAAAAGTTCAGTTTAATTTGTCACACGCTTGTGCAAAATTAAATACTTCAGAATTTCTTGGACTCTGAAATAAATTTTGTATGAAATAGAAATACTAAAAATTCAAACGAAACAACAAAATGTTCGGCAATTGAAATTTTTTCCACCAGCTTGTCCTCATCCCATTCATCTCTAATTTCTAGCGCATTTATGGCTCTTGGAATCAATATCATTCCGTCCAAGACTTATCTAGGAATCCAAATGTCTTAATCCTTTCGTTTTATCCATAATGAAAATGCTAATGAATCTAAAAATCGATCATTTTTTGTTTCGCAAAGTTAAGAGGTTAGATTTTGTTCATGTTAAAATAGAAATAAAATTGGGCAAAAATCAAATACTTGCTCATGGAAGAAAATAAAATCAAAATTTTGGCCTCCTAACTTTGTAAACCTAAAACTTGTCATTTTTACAGGGTGGCCCACTGAAACTGTACGTTAAATGAAACGCTATAGCTTCAAGAGTTTTCGCGCTACGGAACTCTAGTAAATTTTAGTCGAAAGCCAGTTAATTTATGATTAGAAAACAATTTTTAGTTTTGGAAATTTCCTCTCCCCGCACTAACGCAGCGCTGAAGACGCCGCCTCGAGTACTCGAGTCAAGCACGCACTGAATCCGTGCATCATTTGTTCCGTTCCGAGGTCAAAAATTTTTTCTAAGCCTTCACACTTCTACGGGGTATAGAACACATCTTTGCCCCTAACTTTGAGCACATTTCATATTCCGGGGATTCAAATCCAGCAAGGAGGATGATCATTCCTAATTGGCGATAAAGTCCGGAATTTGTTTTTTTTAGTCACAATTGGGTCAGTTTTTGCACTATAAGCTTGTGCTGAGTCCTGCTGAGAGGTCTACTCGATTCCATTGAACTGGATCTCACTTAGGGGTACCACGGACTCGAAAACATATTTTAAGGATTTTGATCCTTTCACCTTCCCCCCATTTGCAACAAAATGTAGAGGAATTATCCCAATTAGCTCCCACTTGCCAAAATCGTCACAAAAGCTGGATAATGTGAACTTTTGAACTTGTTTCCTTATCGAGGGATGTCGTCGATAGATTTGGCGTAGACAATGTCATTTGGTTTGTTTTAAGATTCCTCCATAGTGAAAATCTCCTCAATTGTAAACAAATTTCTCTTTACTTTTTTGGAGCGTACCGCTTCAAGTGAGCCCTACATTTATTTAATCTGGTTTTCTTTTGAGGGGGGTCCAGCATGCGACAAGTACCACGTTTCAAAGCCTTAAGTTCAACGCTCAGTTTGAGCGCTCGTTGGATAATTTGCATCGATACTGTCAGCTGTAATGCTAATTTTCGTAAAAATTTCGAGAATTTCTTGGGATTTTAGCCTTCAACGCCTTCAGCATGGGTGTGGCCCTTGGACGTTTTTTAAAATTTGTTCCTCGACTGTTCTTAGTAGACCCAATCCCAATGAATGTTTTTATAGTCCGCCGAACTGAATTAATATTCGCCGTTGATTTCTTTAATACTTTTAAAATTCACTATTTCTCTTCCGATTTTTTGGTGAAAAATAATCGCCACCCGCGTCGCTTTAATATTTGCCCTGTTGATATGCTTTGGAATAATTAAAAAAAATGATAAGCGTTTTTTATGGAAAATCGCATGAGGAATCCAATGCACTTATCAGATTTTCATTATCTCCAGCGGTTGTAAAGATAAGCGCAAAGTACAGCTACAGTGGGCTCAGTATGTAGATGCCTTAAAATCTTCATTTTGTAAAAATCGCACGGAGATGAACAGGTTTTAAAACCGTAGTGCATACATATTAGAAAACGCTAAAAACAAATTTGGAATAAAGGAAAGTTACAATGTTAGATTCAAAACCCGCATCGAATTGTCCCTTAAGTCTCAAACTTTCTCATTTGTAGATGAGAGTCCTCCGACTCGTGTTTGGGCTTGTGCAGTGTGTCGCCATATTGTTAATGCTGCAATGCACCTTCGTTCTTGGAGTTGACCAAGCGTTCGGAACTCACTGGTCGGGTTATGTTAATATTCATGGCGGGGCAACCTTTACCGCGTTCTACGGGGGATTAACTGTCCACGTGGTGAAGCTGGGGTGGAGAAAGCAAAAACAAGTTCTAAACGATTCGGTGGAAAATTGGTAACTAAATAATCAAACTTGGTATAACCAAATATTGCTTATTTTAATAAATCTTCATATTTAGATAAATATCGTTCGTGGACAATGAATTGGCACAAGAAGTTGACTGTCACAGAATTAAATCTAATTGTAATTAGATCAGACTATAACTTTAAAACATTACCTCAAATTATCTTTATTGTTGTCACGGAAAACCGACAAATTACTAATAAAATCAACGTGATCAATTTTGGTGATTATCTACATACTTAGTAATTTTGAACTTACAATGGGATAGTGTAAAACTCAGATTTGGTGGAAATTTCAGTGCAACCAGCCAACGTTCCTTGATGGAATTTATGCGCTGGTTGGAATTTGAAAAAATATTTAAGGTCGATACTAAAACACTAGCATATAAGCCCGTCTCCCGCCGGGCTCCGGGCTTATTTGATTTTCATGAAAATTATGTAAGTAAGTACAATTGTTCATAATTCCACCGAATTATTTTTTTTTATTGTATCTATATTATTAGCTAGAAATGTCTGTTGGCAAGGAAAGGAAACTTTCTCCACTTTCACTTCCGTCACGGAAAATTACTTTCACTTCCGTTGCAGACAAACATTGCCAGCTTATAATATAGATTATTAGAAACATGTTATGTATAAACCAAACTCGAGTTTGTGTCCTCCACCTATTAAAAGTTTCAAATATTTAAACTATAACGTCAAATATATATGCAACGTGAAACCAGCGCACAAGCTTCTTCACCTAAGAAAAATCTACCACATAAATACGCGTCCCTCAAATGCAGATGCTAGCAAAGGAAAATTCATATCTTACATACATACAAACATGGGGCAAAGATTAATTTTTTGCTCATGCCGAATACGAGCTTATCATTGATAACTGTTGCAATATATCGACACACGGACTGGAAATGAGACCCAGACATACATAGTGACGACAGATAAAAATGAGCCAGGTTTTATCCAGGATTATCATGATTAGTGTAAATAATCAAAGTAATAAACAATTATCACGCTCTACAGTTTACCCCAACTTCAACAAACTTTTACATAAATTAATTCCCAGTGACTGTTCCACCTCTAATCAATTGCTGACTTTGTTCCGTAACTTATCCAATTTATATCCTAATAGCGTTCAAAACTCTTTCCTCACGAGATTGCGATTAAAAAATTAAGACTTGGTCAAAAAAACACAAAATGGAAATCATCCAGGGCCTCGCAGCTTTTCATGTCGTAAGTTATTAAATTATGTAAATTCCATATATATTGTTTCTTTATTTCCAAATTCTTCAATCCCTAGTTCATTTGCTTCGTTGCGATCGGAATAAACGTCTACTCTTACACCCAATATAAAAAGCTTGAGGATAACTTTGACTATTTTGGACTGGATGGTGTGCCGGAAACGGTTAAGCAATATAGAAAATGGCAATATTTGGGAATTATTGGGGCGGTAGTGGGCAGCTTTCAGTTGCTCTTAGCTAAAGCATGGATCCCATTTCTCACCACGAAACGTCAAGTTCCGGTGAGTCGCAACTTGTGAATTTTTTGGTTCCTAGAATTGTAATTTAATTTTTTTTAAATTATACTAAAAAATTATAATCTTTCCGGGAAGGTATGAATGAGTTGTAGGACCCTTAATTTTGAGGTTTAACCATAGATGCGGGACAAAAGACTGCTGTTTGGACTTGTTCAGTGCGTCGTCATCCTGCTAATGTTGCAATGCACGTTCGTCCTCGGAGTTTACGATGGGTTCGAGACTCACTGGTCAATTTACGTCAAGTGTCATGGCGGGGCAGCCTTTATCGCGTTCTATGGGGGATTAACTGTCCACGTGGTGAAGCTGGGGTGGAGAAAGCAGAAACACATTTCAAAAGCTGCGGCGTAAAGTTGCTACACAACTAAAAAACCTTGTACATATAACAATGTATTCCTTATTTTGATAAATCATCACAGATAAATGTCGTTCTTGGACTACACGTATATATTAATATGCACAAGAAGTATGCAGATTAAGTCGAATTATAATTATATCAGACCCAACTTTTGTAACCTTATTTTCAATTATTTTTATGGTTTCCACCGATAAGCGACAATTTATTAATAAATTTAATTTATTTTGGTGGTTAGGTACTTTTGTTCCGATAGTTCGGCCGTGTGTAGGGCAAAACTCTGCTGTTATGCAAATTTGTCAAAATATTTAACGTAAAAAACTTACACAAGCTTAAGTTTTTCGATTTTTCTCTTACTTATCTCCGAAAGAAGTGTTTGCTTCGCCTAAGAAAAATCCAATACGAACGTATTTACATATTTGTGGAGTTGTATCCTTCAAATGTCCACCCTTCAGAACACAATTCTCTTAATCTCATAATCCAACTACAAACATGGATTAGAGATAACGTTTATTCACATAACTCATGGCTTATAATTGATGCATAAACGGTTGCCACATGGAAATACCAAAGTCAGACTGGAACTCTGACCCCGACACTATACTAGAGACGACTGGTAAAACATGAACCGGGTCTTATCTATTAGAGATTAGCATGACTGGTGTAATCGAAGTAATAAACAATTATCTTTCACTATATTTTATTCAACAACCTTCCCAATAAACTTATTAACAGTGACCTTTTGCTCCTTAGTCAATTGCCGACTTTATTCCGTAACTTAACCAATTTATATATCGTAATAGCGTTCAAAACATATCATACATTTCGCACTATATCGAGCTTAAAATCAATACTTGCTAAAAAATTAGCGTAATGCTAATTATCCGAAGCGTCACAGCTTTTCATGTGGTAAGTTATTAAGTAAATTATGAAAATTACATATATCTAGTTTCTTTATTTCCAAATTATCCAATCCGTAGTTCATTTGCTTTGTTGTGATCGGAATAAACGCCTACGCTTACACGGAACACAAAATGCGAATAAATGAAGAGACGGATGACGAGTTTTTTGAGTTTTACGCTTCGGGACTTAGAAAATTTCGAAATTTGGCCATTATTGGCATGGTAGTGGGCAGCCTACAATTGCTACTCCTGAGCGCATGGATCCCACTTCTGACTACGAAACGAGAAATACCGGTAAGTCGAAACTTTGGAATGTATTTCGTATTAGAATTTAAGTTTAATTAAAACAATCTAATCTGACTGACTCATAGTAAAGTTTACGATAATGGTAATTGACTTGAAGACGATTAAAGGTCGATAGGGATTTTGATGACGTAATAAATACATGGACGTCCCCTTGACAAAATGTGGTTCATAATATGAATATTGCATGTGTTTAGTCTAATTTTGCAATTTTATCATTTGAATTAAGATGAGAGGGTTAAGACTGCTGTTTGGATTCGTGCAGTGTGTCATCGTACTGATAATTTTGCAATCTACCTTCGTCCTCGGACTCTTCCAAGGGTACGGAATGCACTGGTCAACGTACGTCAAGATTCATGGCGGGGCTGCCTTTATCGCGTTCTACGGGGGATTAACTATCCACGTGGTGAAGCTGGGGTGGAGAAAGCAGAAGAATGCTATAAAGGATTCCGTTTAAAATTTGCAATTAAAAAACTTGACACAATATGTATTCCTGATTTTGCAAATCATGATAAACAAACGTCGTTCGTGTCGTGGGCGACATTTTCCACAAGAAGTTGATTGTTAGAAAAGTTAATTAAAGCTAATTATAATTATATCAGACCCTACTTATTTACTTTCTAAACATTGTCTTTATTATTTTCACGGAAAAACGACAAAGTATTGGTAAAATCTATTTCATCTTGGTGATTAAAGGGTTTAATTTAAAAATAATCTGTTTGAATCAATTACATACATACATAGGTCTACTTCGCCAGCTCACAATAAAACATTTGAAATCATTTTACATGTTTATCAAATTATTATAACCCTTAATTTACTGTAACAACAGCAAATTAATAGTTTGCAAGATACAAAACTGCTCGATAACTAAAGGCGTCAAAGTATCCATAAAATTAGAGCCAAACCATAACTTTAAGGGGGCAAGTGACTTAAGAAACTTTCTCTCCACTTTCCTCTCAACATTACTCCCACCTCTTTCCATCTTGGCGACAACCCGCGTCCTCATCCCCAACCACGTGACACTGTTAGAATACACCTTCCCCGCAAAAATAAATAGCATCGAACTACAAACAAAACATTGCGAATATTGAACAATTAACATGAACAAAAGAGAGTAATTCATCCCTTCATGATATCTAATTAGCAAAAACACGTCCAGAATTTGCACGGCCGGAAAACCAAGCGAAACGATGGGAAAGATTCGATGCCGCGTGCACGAATTTAGCACGGACTCGAGAGCTTGAAGTCGTCTGTAAGAGCGAAGATCTGCATTCTTTTGGGTAAACGTGCGACACGAATTTACCCAAAGGAAAAGAATTCCCGCCAATAATACCACCAAAATGTAGGTGACTCCGATCGCATACACGTGACCGAGTATGAACGCATCCGCGATAATTAGTATCAGTCGGGCCACGACTAAGGACAAGGATTTGCAATCTGTCAAATGGTTTGGGGAAAAAGTGCACAAGTCCTTGGGGAGAAAGAATGATTCCAGGAAGGGAAACTGACAAGGGATGAAGACCAGCAGGATGCCGAGGGTAATGCACTATGGGCCAGATTTAACAAATTTTGGCCAAAAATATATAGGAGCCGAATTTGAAGAAACAAGAATTAGATTTTGGTGTGAAACGATAACCTGAGGCATATATTATATGAGAAAATTTTTAAGACTCACATGCCACACCCCCAGTGGGTGTGGCCTTCGCCGACTTTTCGATTTTAACGGAACCATGTCATGTGATATATCATTTTTCTCAGCTCGACAACGGGGTTTCGATTTAATACCTAAATTTGTTAAACCACACCCACAGTGGGTGTGGCTCTAAGAAAATTGTCGATTTCAACGGAACCGTGTCATGTGGAACCGTAAACCGTGGTGTAAACCGTGGTGTGGAACCGTCGGAACCGTATCATTTTTCTCAGCTCGACAAACGGATTTCGATGGAATACCTAAAATCAGCGTGCAGCGACTTTTCAGTTTTAACTAAACCGTGTCATGTCATTTAATATATCATTTATCTTAACTAAATGACGGGATTTCGACAAAATAATTAGAATTGCATTATGTAAATTGAGAAAATCCCACTTTCAACAATTGTATTTTTTAACAATTTCTTGCTGTATTTTTCAAAATTACGAAATCGCATACAAAGTTGTAAATTTTTAGAAACGTATTAAGATAATTTTAATTTTAGTAATTTTTGAGAAAATGTTTTAGTTCTTTCGTTTTTGATATAGCCTTAAAATTATAAAACAAAACTTGTTGACAAATTTAAATTTGAACTGAAAATGCAATCAAAACCGCTACCACCGAAAACACGAGCTTTCATGGAAATTCAAATAACAATAAAATACAATTCGAAACAAAATAATACAGGCGGTGCTATTTCGGTGTGGGGGAAACTTAAAATCGGAGAAAACAGCTTCAAGTCGCTGAACACCACACCAACTGGGGTGTGGTTTCAAAATTCTAAAAATTCTGTCGAGATCCCGTCGTCCAGCTAAGAAAAAGTATAAATATATCAAATAAAATAAAATCGTAAAGTTGCCGAGAGCCACACCCACTGGGGCATGGTTTTATTACAATCGAAAATTTTCTAAAACCCACACCCACTGGGGGAGCGGTTTGCAAGTTTTAGGTATTTCGTCGAGTCCCCCTTGTCGAGCTGAGAAATATGATACATCTCATGATATGGTTTCGTCCAGAAAGACAACTTACTTAGAACCACACCCACTGGGGGGTACGGATTTCCAAGCTTAGGTATTCCGTCGAAATCAGCTCGTCGAGCTGAGAAAAATGATACATCATATGACATGGTTCCGTTCAAATCGAAAAGTCGCCGAGGGGCACACCCACTATGGGTGCGGTTTAAAAATTTATTTTAGTCCGTCGAAATCTCCTCATCAAGGTGAGAAGAATGATATATCACATGACATGGTTTCATTAAAATCAAAAAGTTTCTGAGAACCACACCCACTGGGGGTGTGGTTCGTAAATTAAGTATTCAGTCGTAATGTCTTCATCGCCCTGAGAAAAATGATATGTCACATGACATGGTTTCGTTAAAATCGAAAAGTCTCCGAGGGCCACACCCACTGGGGGTGTGGTATGTGGCTATTTGAACATGGCTGGTAGTGCCCACGGTGTCGAGCTCTGTGGGATTTCAAATTTCCCTTGTTCAGTGTTCTTTGGATGGTCCTAGGACTAACTTGTTTGTCGAACATCTCCTTGATCTCGGTAGATAGCTGTGGAGCACTAAGTGAGGGTGTAACGTTGACTTTGTTGAGCACGTGGCGTACTTCTCGGTGAGCCAAAATCGGTTTTCGACCACTTCTGACCTTGTTTTGGACTGAACCATTAGCTCTAAAGTTCTTAATGATTGTCTGGATGGTTGTCCTTGCTAATTTATACTTGGTCCCTATTTGTCTCTGCGACAGCCCCCCTTTTTGTCCACCCTTCCAGTCCTGAATGACAAGATCTCGAATAGCGATAGGAATTTCCTTGCGTGTCGACGCCATCATATTTTTCTGGAAGAAAATTATTTAAAAATTAATGCGGCATATGTTATTGATAGATTTATTAAGTTACCTGATTTTATAAATTGGAGAGATTTTTGTTGTTGACAATTAAAGTGAAGTGGACGTAGACTTTTGTCCGCTCAAATTTCATCCTCTCTCGCTCTGCACTATGATTCTCAGTTTTCCCAGAATTTTCAGAAATAACTCATATGTTTTATGAAATTACGTTAAATTTGTGAGAATTAGATATATCAATGATGAAAATTGGTTCAGTAGTTCAGTGACAATTTGAAAATGAAATTGACGCGACTATGTGGACGTAGAGATCTGTCCGACACTGTACATGCTAACAAATATTAAACTTATGGTCTCAAGTAAATAAATTAAAATTCTGCTCAAAGTTCTTCGCATAAAATTAATACTTCATCGCCGATAGAGTCATATACGAATGTACATAAACTAGCACAAATTCATACAATTTAATACAAATATGTATCTATTTAAAAATGCTAATTATAAATAATAACATCATGAATGGAAACCTTGTAATTATTTTCCATTTGATATTATACTGTATTTCCAAGAAATAAGTTCTTATGAAACATCGTACTAGGAAAATACTACATTTATTTTTAATCCGTGTTAGCTCGGTCGTTGTTCGGTCGCACAAAATTTTCCACCAGGCTAAAAAGAGAGGACTTTCTAGGAATTTTATTTCCAGCATTGAATTTCAACCCTTCACCACTGGTCAATCCTTTCATAAGGGGAATGTTTGCCTACTTCAGGTCTCAATTCCACTTTGCATTCTCTGCACGTTAAACATCACAACATTTTTAACTTCACTTAACTTTTCGAGTCAATTTGCGTAATTCGAGCTGCATTTGAAAAAGCTTCACCAATCTTAAATATTTACAACCTATTTACATAAATACCACGTTCCATATTAAATTGTCCGAAATTACAAGTTAGTGAATACATGAATACCCTTTCTGACATGGAATCCATTTTCACTTTTCACCAAGTAAACTGTACTGGACGTCTGGGGTGAGTATTTTAAATTCTGTTCATTGAAAATATCGAAAACTTGTCCTCTTTAATAATTTTAGACAAATTCATTAAGTTTCTTCGTTAAATTCTAATTATTGCATTTAAAATTTTAAATTCAGATCCACCTTTCTCGCTGAAGTTTGTTGGATGAAGGAGGGAGTTTTGCAATCTGCTCGACCAACGCCATATCTTCGAGTCATGCTGACACAGGACGACGGGGAGACAATTATGGTGGCCATTGCGACCGGGAATTTTTACCACGTGGCAAAAAATCTTTACCAGGTACATTTTTAAGTAACCAAATCTAAATGAACTAACTGATTTTCCAAAATTTTGAAAAATTTAATTTTAGAACTTAATAAAAATTAAGTTTATGACATTTTTGGATTGTTAGGTTGGGAACGTCTACTGTTTTCCAGGAGGAATGTTCGAAATCCGTCTTCACACATCACAAAACTCGTGCTCGAGTTATCCGTTCGACTTGTAGTTCCTGAACGATTCTGGTAAGAAAAACTGCCTTAAAAATTTGATCATTTAATACCCAATGAATTTTTGCGTCATATTTTTAACAACTTGATATTTATTTCTGTAGCCACATCTGATCAAACGAGTCCCAAATCATGCCAGACTTCACAGTTGGAAGACTCTATGCAAAACATGAGCATTTTCTAAATTGTAGATTTAATTCATTTAATCTTGTTATGTATATGTAGTACTGATGTATTATGTATATTTATTTACATAAATTTCGTATTTTATAATGTTTCATATTATTCACTGATTATGTAGTATAATGTCAACTATTGTGATGTTTATAACATGTAGTAATTACAATTTTATTACAAATGTACTTACTAATATTTATAATATCCATTTAAATACATATACAGATATCGCATTTTATAATGTCATGCATATTTACTAATTAATAATCATTTAGATCCATTCCATTGCTATCGATTTCTTTCTTTGTACAAAGAAATCACCCTTTGCTACGACATTTAGCATGTTCCAGGAATGCGATGGTACATATGTAGCATCCGACAGAGAAAGCGTTAAGAGTAAGTGAATTCACAAGAAAATTCAATTACTAGTATACATGTGTTATTCAGTTTGCATATTTATAGCGCATTTGAAAAAATAAACCCAATAGATTTTTTGTGTTAACCTTGTCGAGTGTATTTTTTAACGCATGTACAAAATGAGACCAAATTTCAAACTATTGATTTACAATCCAGGGGATCCATTAAGAATTCGTATTTTTGAAAATTTTTGAAAAATACTTTCCCAACTAAACTTTAGCTAAGAGACACACAGACCTTCAGACATTTTTATGAAATTTTTTATGCTTTTTAAATTTTTATGTTTCGACTTTACGTTTTTTCTAAAGTTTTTAGGTTACGAATCGTAACTTACGATGCAAACTGATGAATACCCCCAGTGAGTATCTAGTTCGACTGTCTTATGTAGGTGAGCTTATCGTTATCGAAGTCCTGCCTCTGTTAAATTTCTTGCCAACGATCTCAAACAATTTCTTTTTCAGGTTACTAGTAGCCTGAATAAATTGTAGTGATTTTAGAAATTCTCCAAAGTTTTCCAATTCATGTTGGATTTCGGCTTCGGTCCAAACTCCCAAGTCTTCTTCCGCAGTTGAAGCAGTCATCGCTGTGTCGTAAAACCGCATATTTTTAATGTCAAAGTTGCTCGGTCCATAAGGGTCTGTTTGTTCCTCCACTAGCGCAAATACAGCCGTGTTCAATCGTGAGAGATATGCTTTGCAATAAATCTCCTTCAGCTTGTTGCTAAAAATTGTGGAAAAAATATAAAAAAACAGACGTATTTATATTATATTCCCTGCTACAGAGTCAAGAAATATGACATCAAGGAAACATTTTTGTTTTCCCAAAATTCATTAAATTGCAAGGCAACAAACACCAATGTTTAAGAAGAACGGTAGAATTTTTTTTAGAGAATTGTCACTGTTAAAAGTACTGTTATGTAGGAAATTGTAATTTGTTGCCTGTCATTTTCATTAATTTTTGAGGAAAATTCGTTCCCTTGTTGCCATATTTCTTGGCTAAATTATCCACGGAGCTTTTTCTATTGGTTAAAAAATTCATCGTAATCATCGCGATACCTGTAAGTAATCCTTGATTCCAAAAAATTGACTGCCTTGTGTTTTTCATCAGCAAAGAAAGTCTTTGTCTTGAATTCAATTCCATTTCCGGCACAGTTCGGACCACAGTCTATCTCAGAATGGTAGATAAACCTGTGAATACATTTAATTTTGCAGTTAGTTATATTTAAATACAAAAGTACAAATTGAAGCATGAAACATAAAGACTACCCTATATTTTTGCCCACCGCATAAGATATTTAAGTAACATACGTGGAACTTCCCTTTTCATAGGAATATATTAACTTGAAGGTACATATTTAAATATTAGATAATAATGAGCTCGCATTGTTCAGTAAATTCAGGAAAAAATCTTGAGATCTCAAAAGTTGGAAAACTTTTGTTCGACGTAAAAAATTATTTAAGAAATAAGACATACGTAATTGTCTACTTTGGCATTTGATAAATCGTAAAATATACATATTTCCCAAAGAAAAATGTGTGAAGTGTGCCAATTCGCATTTAATCTCTGTGGCGAATAATTATATATAATTCACAATCAATTACGTAGATTACAGTACATTACCGAATATCTTGGGTAAGATCAATGGAAAAGATCCCATAAATTTTTACGGCCGTTTCATTTTGCGCTATGCATTGAATATTATGTAAAACGTATGCGTCTTTTATGACACGGGACAAAAATACACGGGTCATCGGGGCCCCTCTTCCAGACTAGGATGGCTCTGCGTTCTCTTTAGTGGCGAATGTGCGTGACGAATCTACCGTCAGAGAGATTGATACATTAGTTGCGTCGTACAGAGCGAAGGGGGCACTTATTTTTTATTGTATCTTTTTCCGGTCGTTCGCCACGTTGCACTCATGTCGGTTACAGGTTATCGTGTGACATTGCATGTTCATGTCATCTGGGTCGCAACTAACACCCAACCCATACCCAACGTAGTTGGTCGATAAGACCATGACCATCGTGTTGCCATGCATAGACGCGCATCACCGCCTATGGGGTCCATCATGTCGGGATGATTGCATATTTTTTTAAAAATTGATATGTATCGATCCTCGCCTAACCTGATTTACTTTGGAGGACTTTGTCCTCTGCAATCCGTCCGATTGCGGAACGCTGTTGATATCTTCGATCGTCAGAATTGTATACAGTTTTGGCAAATATGTCGTAAATTTGGGATGGGTACATGGCAGATGGAACCCTTCTCAGGCCAAGGTCATATTCAGATTTCTGCATGATGTAGTTTAAGGGTCGCTGAGATCCGAGAAATAAGCTGGAACTATGGAAAATATTTAGTTAATTAGTGGTTTAGCTTGTAAAAACGTGTGTGTGAATTTAAATTGTATTTATAATGTGGTTAAGTACGAAATGGTCAAAGAATATGGTTACAAGGGGCTAATTTTTGCAATGAAATACAATTCTAAACATTTCCAAAATTAATAATTATAATTTTTCACAAACCCTAAACAATTCTCTTAACAAGTTGAGGATTTGTTTTTGATTAGTGGAATTAATAAGTCGTTCCCGATGTACACACGAATGCTATTAGAATTCTGTTTGTCTTCGATTTGTTCTATCTAGGTTCGATACAATACTTCGAAGGAAATTCGAATGAAAACAGAATTCTAGATCGCAGCAAAAATCAGAACACATTCGAATCTGAAAATACCATTCTATTAGCGCACTATTGGAATGCTATTCCTAGATTTCGATTTGTAATCGGAATCTCTAATTCTATTTGTATACTTAAAAACGAAACGCGCAAGCATGCGATTTTTAGCATAGCAATCGAATCGAGATAGAATACTTTGTATCCACATCGGAGGGAGAATTAAACCATAGTGCATGGCCGACCCAGTCCTCTCTTACTCAGCCAACACGTCGTCCAGTAAATTTTCGGTTGTCAACTTTATAAAGGAGAAAAAAGTCGCTGTCGTTTCAACAAATTGGTTGAGCAGAGACCGTTCGGAGTGCTGGTGGCCTACAGGACCAGGATCTGGCGATAAACTACGCCACAACGCAGAACCAGAAGAAGAAGGATGGCGAAAATATGCTTGTTATCATATTAAATTCGCAGGTAAGAATTAATTAAATACAAGGCAATAATATTTGTAATTTCCTTGTACATGTTGTATATTCAACTTTTCAGACAATCTGGAAAAAGCAGAAAAGTTCTGTAGAAAAGCAGAATTCACAGATGACATCCCCTCATCGAGTACGGAGTCATCCACACATGTCAAGCGAAAACAGGCCAAAAGTAATAGGACTTAGTGTAATAATAACTCGATCAGACCAAAGCGAGCCTTAAAGTCACCTCAGAGTTCTGTAAAGGACACGTCAAGTGATTCGTCACAAAGTGATCTTGAAGAAACTGCTTCAGATTTAAAAGGTAAGTAAAAATGTATTTCCTTTCATTATTGTGTTGCTTTTCTGATGATTGACTTCGTCATAAAATTGTACAGGAATTTTAAGTGAGTTTATTCCAAGTTCTGAAACCCACGAGTCAGAAGCCGCTGTGGTCAATGAAATTCCGGAAGGAACGAGTAACCTTGAAGTGACAATATTGGATGCACCACAATATACAGTTGTAACTTCTGGCGAAATAGACGAGCTTCGCAAAGAATTCCGGAGTAATTCAGATTTAAATATTATTTAATTTCATTAAGTTGTTGATATTTTTTATAATACTTAACTAACATTTCGATATTCTAAAAGAATTTCAGGAAATTGTACTGCAGCAGCTATTAGTGATCAAGGATCAGATGGTGGAAATTCTTCGACACGTTGGACAAAATAATACAGCAGCACCTGTCAATTCTAGCCTGGACCATCCAAATTTTCCAATCTCCAACATTGACGACTTCATTGGATTAAATAAATGGTTAGAAAATGATGACAATAAAAATAACCTGGTAAGTCTGTAAATAAAACTTAATTATTTTTCTTAGTATTTATAAGTATTTTTTGTTCATTAGGTGAGTCGCCTGAAGTATTTGGGTGGGGAGGGTGCCAATGGAATCGTTGACAAAATCCTCGAATATACTTTGTTGGACTCTTTTGCCTTAAAACTTAGCTTGACAGGAATCGGAAAATGCACTATTGCAGGAATAAGGAAAACGCGTTTCCAACAATTAATTAATGGTACGTTATCTTCACGTGTTATTTCATCGCGCCAACAATCAAAACAAATTACAATCAATTCATTTTATTGCTGAAAGTGTCCGTGCCGCAAAGTTTGGGGAGTCAATAACCAACACTGAAATAGAAAAAGGGATCCAACATTACCTGAAGAAAGTGAGCGATCGAAACTATGGAAAGAAAAAAGACGAAGAAAACCAAACGACGGAGAGTCCAAATGGAAGTTAATCGTCTGGTAAATATAATCAGAAGTAACGACCACACCTCAAATAATAATTGTATAAATAATTTTAGCATAGTGCGTAGTACAGAATTATTTAATCGACAATCTCCTCCACATTCAAAAAATACTTTAACATTTAATGAATTTAACACACATAGTGACGTCAATAGTTTAGGAACAGGCACTATTTTAGGCGATAATATATTATTTGATAAAGAGACAGTTAGTTTAGAAGATTCGCTAAAATTGTGGAAGATTGAGAATAACATAGGACATGCATCCCTGAAAGAGCTTTTATTTATACTAAACAATTCCTCAGGCTCTCACAATTTGCCTAAAGATCCTCGAACATTAATGCAAACTCCAATTACAATTCCGATTGAAAATGTTAGTGGTGGTATGTATTGTCACTTTGGTATAATCCGGTATTTAAAAAGTAGATTACAAAATCGAGTAACTTTATATAAACCCGAAGGCCTTATATTTGAAAAACTAGTTTCCAATGCTAATTTCCCATTGATAAGCTTGAGCATAGGAATTGATGGCATACCTGTTTCTAACAGCAGTAACAAGCAATTTTGGCCGATATTGGGTATAATTAATCAAATAGAGGATGCAAAACCTTTTTTAATTGGGTTATTTTATTCTGAAAGTAAACCTAAAGGATTGGAATATTTAGAGAACTTTCTAAAAGAGTGCAGGGATTTAGAAGAAAATGGGTTTAGCATTTCTGATAAACAGTATTCATTTAGAATTTCCAGCATTTTAGCTGATTCCCCAGCACGAAGCGAAATTAAATGTTTTAAAAATCATAACAGTTGTGAAAGGTGCACAATTGAAGGTGAATGGTGTGGAAGAGTTGTATATACAGGCAATAATTTTAGAGAACGTACAGACACTTCATTTCAAAATATGGTTGACTCATCTCACCACAAAGGGCAAACGCCTCTTGCATCCTTAAAAATAGGCTTAGTGAGTCAAGTACCTCAAGATTATTTACATTTAGTTCTTCTTGGTGTAGTTAGAAAAATATTTAGGAGGTGGGTAAAAGGAAAATTACCACATAGATTGCAAAGTAGGGATACAATTGCTATTGCAAATCGTTTAAAATCTTTTAGAACGTTTTATCCTTCTTGTTTTCAACGGAAACCAAGATCAATTATTGAAATAGATCATTACAAGGGAACCGAATTTCGAAGTTTATTACTTTATACAGGTGCTCCAGCGCTTTGTGGAATAATTCCATTTAGTCAATATAAAAACTTTTTGCGACTGCAATGTGCAATGTTCATCTTGCTTTCCTGTAAAGCAGATGAACCTGATTGGAATTTGGTAGCTCAAAAACTATTAACAAAATTGGTGAAGGTAGGGATAGAAATTTATGGAAACGAATTCGCAGTTTACAATGTCCACGGCCTACTCCATATAACAGATGATGCAAAATTATATGGTAGTCTAGATAACATTAGTACATTTGCATTTGAAAATTTTATGCAAAAAATTAAGGGTTGGATAAGATCCAAAAATTTTCATTTAGAGCAGGTTTGCAAACGGATTATAGAAAATGAAAATCTTTATGATGTCATAACTCAGAACCAGGTGCCAACTCATAGTAAGATTATGTTAATTAGTAGAAGGGGCAATAACTGCGTTTTATTAAAATCTGGAAAACTTGTTGTCGTAAGTAAATGTGAGATGACTGAAAATACAAATTTTTTAATAACTTGTAAAGTATATCATAATTTATCTGCTTTATCTAATTATCCTATAGATAGTATTAAGCTGGGTATCTTTGAAGTTAGAAATTTGTCAGAAGATGCAATTTTAAAAGTAGATGAGTCAGACATTATTCATAGGTATGTAAGGCTGCTATGTAAAGATTATTTTATGTGCTTTCCATTGTTACACACAATAAAATGATTTTGTAACAAAATAAATTCGAAGATGAAACACGTTATTCTATTTGCCGAACATATATACAGTCAATGGAAAAAGTATTGGCAACCCCCACGCCAGCTAAATAAAATTGGCTGTAGCCTTGGAGTGCATTATACAATTGGCGTGAAAATATGTTCGCATTTAGCAAATATAATGTAGTTTTCGATTATAATCATGTTTTATTGATTAAAATTAGATTAACACAGTTTTTAAATAATTTGTTGGAAAATTTGCAAAATTAACCCGCAAAAAGTATTGGCAACATGTGGCCAAATTAATTACGCGGAACAATATTCTTAATCACCTACCCCATTTCATTACGGTAAGTTAATTAGGTGACAAAATATGACGATGGCAACATTTTAAGTCAGCAGTTGTGTTGTCTGGAACCAAAATGGCGACACCAAACGAGTTATATTTGGCGCGGCAAGAAATATTCATTTATTTTTCGCAAAAAAAACCTGGATATCTAAAAATCAATGGAAAACATACTTTTTCATATTTACTATTGGAAATGTAGCCAAGAAATATAAAATGGCAATTTTAGTTTCTGCTTTTCCATGGTTGCGGAAGAAAAAAGTCACCTTCGCCCAAAGGCAAATGATGAATCAAGCAACAAATTACCTGAAATCGGAAGATTTCAACATCCAAAACCAATTAGAATTTGAGAACCAACTGTGGAGTCAATATTTCATACAATATGGTGATCAATCAAAAATCCTACCAAGGGGTTTTAGGGTCCAGTAGCCCCATAGAAGAGAAGGCCCCCAAAACGAACCAACTCAAGGTATTTAAATCAGCTAAATACCACCCTAAATAGACTTCCAACGGATGAAGAAGGGTCTAGTGGTCTCACATAAGTAAATTTAACTTATTCGGTGCGGGTTCGATGGTTAGAGTTTGGAGGATGCAAAATGAGGCCCTCAAATATGAATGCTGCCGTCTGGGAGTCAAGCTCGGAATAGGATCGATTATGGTTTGGGGTTGAATGATTAGGTCGTTGCGTAGTTAGCTGGTAATTATCGATGAAGTTATGACCAATGAGGTCTAAATAATCATTTCAAGCGATAATTTGAAATTATTTTGCAAAAACCTGACCTAGGAAGGAATTTAATGTTCCAAAAATGCAGTGACCCCAAACATGTAGCCAAATTAGCAATGCAAGTTTTTGGGGATCTACGAGGTTAAGCTTCTCTCGTTGGTTGCACAGTCTACCGATGTGAATCTGATTGTCTGGGTTGAGAAAGGAGAGACTGATGGAAAACCACTCGTCAAAAAACGAGCTGGACAAAATTTCAAACGAAGATTAGGCAGACATGTTAAAAAGCGTTATAAAAAGATTTTTCCAATCAATCAATCAATTACAATGCGTATTTCTGCTCTTATTGTGTCGAGGGGAGGTGATATATATTACTAGAAGCAGTTTGTCGCAATAAAATTCGCGTTTTATTGATTTATAATTTTTTAAGTTAAGGGTTGCCAATACTTTTTGCGGGTTAATTTTGCAAATTTTCCAACAAATTGTTTAAAAACTGTGTTAATCTAATTTTAATCAATAAAACATGATTATAATCGAAAACTACATTATATTTGCTAAATGCGTACAAATTTTCATGCCAATTGTATAATGCATTCCATGGCTACAGCCAATTTTATTTAGCTGGCGTGGGGGTTGCCAATACTTTTTCCATTGACTGTAGCATACTATAAGTCGCATTCTAGCCGAATTATAAAATACGCATTCTGGTCGAATTCTTAAAAACCCATTCTATCACAATCCTATCAGAGATTCTATATAGCATCTTTTTACCGAATTCTAATAGCATATCGAGGGACAAAATCGGTGTGCGTATAGAATGTTGGCGTCCAATATAAATATAATTCTGTCAGTATTCTTTTTATACATCGGGTTGTATACTTTATTTTAATGAAGCTGGTGAAAAAATTAAACTTTATTACAATGTCTTTGAGGTCCTTACATTTTGCCATTATTCAACCACTTCTGAGTATCTTAATGCATAACTGCTTCCTCCAAAGCTTTAGAAGGTTCACGATGCTCCTCGAAATTGGCACGATTTCGTACTTCGTCTCTGATCATTGCGTCGATTTCTTCCCCTGTAATTTGGATTGGTTGGATGGGCGGAGTCCAAGTTGGTATTGGAGGTACGTCAAATTGTGCGTAGAGTTCGGCCTGTTGCTCCCTGCTGGTCAGAAATTGCGTGAGATTATCCCGAAATTGAGACAAGTTGCGAGGTCCTTCATCCCGGAATGGAATAAGTTTCTCTTTAATTCCCCACTTGATTAAATTGAAGGATGGATTTTCTCGTTCTTCTGGAGGAATTAGTCCACTTCTCCACTCGGTTTGTTTTGTAGTAGGGTGGGTAATTTTTACAGAGAGGGCTACACATTTCAGCATTTTAGCAAGAAATTAAATATTGTATTTTTTAATGCTTTGAAGAATTCAGATGTATAAATCTGTGAGTTAAGAAAGTTGAGTGGCAAGGGGTGGTGATATGGAGATATGTACATATGTATGTTCTACATAAAGTAATGCATATATGTACAATATAGTGAAAGAAACTTTATTACAGAGCATCACACATTACATACATACATACGTAAAGGCCGTCGGGTAAAAAATGTGCAATTCGGAATGAGCCGACTAGATATTTTGCAATGCAAGATTTGTTCGCGTGTATAATCCACGCGAACAAATCTTGCATGTGTACATACATACATACACCGTGTATGCACATATGCATATGTATGTATTGAGTACCTAGAAGATGCATATTGAAAGCAACTACTTATGTACATACTTCGGATATTAATAAATTTTACGAAATTTAGGCATGTATAGTACTTACTAGCAAATAAGTATGTATGTGTCAAATAACTAACATTCATGATTTTCAATCCAAAAAGTTTTTCAAATATCGAAAATCTATAGGTTTTCGATATTTGACAAAATTTTTACTGTAGGAAAAATTCGCAAATTATCCACGTGCCATGACCTATTCATGACCTAAATGTTTTAACTTTTCTAAAGTATGCACCTTAAAATGTTGGACCAATTCGGGGAAACTGATGAATTTCTTCCCACAGAAGTAACATCCATGATTCGCAACCTTGTGACGCCTTCTGTGATTGGCCAAATTGTGTTTCGAGTAGCTCCTGTACTCGCATTTGTCGCAGGAATGGATCGGCCCTTTGTTCGTGGCATGTCTCGCCTCCACGTGACCCTTCAAATTTGATGCCAGAGAGAATCTCTTGTTACAAAATGCGCAAGGATAATTCCTCTGATTTTCATGCACAACTCGCACGTGCCGTTGTAAACCAATCCTACTTAAGAAGGTTTTAGGACAGATGTGACACTTTGACACATCTAGGGTAGATTTTTCCAAATGCGTGATCTGGAATATGTATAATATTGGTCATTTATAAATTTTCACCTAGTCTTTCCGACAACATGCTTATTTACCTCGTGCCGTTTCATACTTTCCACGTGGGCGAAACTCCTCCCACAAGTGGCACAATTGTACGGCTTCTCCGTCGTATGGGTGAGAACGTGATTCTGAACTTGAAGCCTCGTTTTGAACTCCTTTTCGCAAAGTGTGCACGGAAATCGGACCGGATTTTCGGCATGTTCAGTTTTCACGTGATGCAAAAGACCACGCTTGTTTTGGTAGGTTTTGCCACATCCAAGAGACGTACATGGAAAACGAGGTCGTTCCTTCGTGCTGTGGATAGCGTCAACATGTCGCTGTAAGTTATACGAATTGGAAAACACCCGTTGACACGTGTCACAACTTGGTAGCTTCTTAAAGCGGGAAGATAAGGCGAGTGTGTTTTTGGCAATTATTTCGCAAACCTAGATAAAACCGAGGTAGAAAAATGACAAAGCAAAAGTGGAAAAATGCAGACTATAAAATTAGTTTTTTTTTCTGAAAATTTATACCCTCACCTCACATTTGACCTTGGCATTGGGATCGTTCCTGACCATGTGTGTGTCCAACGGGTTATCAGTTTTTAACGTTTTCGAGCACCTTGGACATCCCCATTTCTGTCCTGGGTTCACATCCATTTTAATTTGGTACATAGATATTTATTGAGTTTGTCTGGTCCAATAAATTTAATTTGGTGTCTGCATGAAAAAGTTGTCTTACAAATATCGAGACAATATTAAACAAGTCTTTGCCAAAAATGCACACGTTTAATATTCGGCGAACATGAAACACGTTTCCAGCAATTTTTAGTGAGAATGAAATTGGCTATAATAATTAATAGGTTTTGCCCTATTTAGTTAAGTTTCTTACCGTGTGTTGGGAAATATTTTATGTATTTACAGGATTTAACTGTGCAGTGTTGTGTTAGAGTAATATGGAAAGCTAATGTTGGTTCGTTTGGTGTAAAAAAAGTTGCATTTATTTTGTAACCATAGCAACCAGTGGATACCTGACAAATTCCTGGATAAAAATAACCAACCATCCCTTCGGGACCGTACATAAGTCATGCGATTAATTTTGAGGAGGGTTTCGCCAACGAGAAAATTCACTTGCAACCTTGCATTATTAGCTCACCCTGCGAAGCATGAGAGCTATTGAATTCCTCTTGTCCGTCCGTCCGTCTGTCTGTGTGTTCACGAGTTTTTTGCATCAATTGATGCTAATTAATAATCCCCTTGACCATTATAGAATAAATTAGGCGCACCATTGGTATCGAACAATCCGTGGCGCAAATGGTGCCAATTAATTGTGCAAATGGATCGAGAAAGGACTACAATTTTGCAATAGGTAGCACCGTTCGTATTGAACAGTTGGTTCTCTAAGCTGATGCGAAACAATTGGATGAGCAACAACTGATACTCACTAGAATGGATCAGGTCCATTTTTTAATAAATTAATAGCACCGTTGGTATCTAACAATCGGTAACACAAAATGATGCGAAACAATCGGGTTAATTGATGCAAAACGCACCAATGGTACAGAATAGCCGGGAGAATTTACTATATAATTTTGACACAAATTTTTTGAAATTTTATTGGACCCACCACGGTTAATCTCCAACAGTGGTGCAAAATACTTTGTCATCTACCTCGTTTTTCTGCATCATTGATGCATAATTGCATAATAATTATTGATCTATTTTATGCCTCGTTTTTCTGCATCATTGATGCATAATTGCATAATAATTATTGATCTATTTTATGCCTCGTTTTTCTGCATCATTGATGCATAATTGCATAATAATTATTGATCTATTTTATGCCTCGTTTTTCTGCATCATTGATGCATAATTGCATAATAATTATTGATCTATTTTATGCCTCGTTTTTCTGCATCATTGATGCATAATTGCATAATAATTATTGATCTATTTTATGCCTCGTTTTTCTGCATCATTGATGCATAATTGCATAATAATTATTGATCTATTTTATGCTTCGTTTTTCTGCACCACTGGTGCATAATTGCTTAAAAATTATTGATCTATTTTGTTGAACTACTATAATTTTGCACCCAAGGTGCAAAGGTGCCAGGTAATTATATATTACAGGGTGAGCTACTTCTAACGTTACTACGGTTTATTTTACTTTCTATGACATAGTAATGTATTTCGCGTACTAATTTTAATTGGTTCAGCGAAAAAGTAAGCCGACCCATTTTTTTAATTCGTTTTAATTCGAGTTTTCTGTATTACGGAATTGCAACAATATTTCTCGACTAAACCCATCTGCCTTAATAGCCATGTAACTCGATTCTTGGCTGAACTCCAAAAATTTAAAAGTTTGCTTGATTTTTCATAAAATGAAATTTTTAAAATTTTTCTAATTGTCAGTTTTACAAAACCGCAGGCCTTAGCAAAGTGTAAAATTCTCAAAAAAACAGTAATTTCGAAAAGTCAAGTATTTATGCACTCAATTTGTATGTATCCGAAATATCACATGTTAAATATGTACGTTATCTATTCTTAAGAGATCGATAAGAGGCTTCAAAATTTGGTTTCTAAAACTGTTCCAAAAGATCTCTAATTAAGAATGTGTATCGGGAAAAAACTATTCATTTTCTCAATGTCAACGACTTCGTCGGAAAACTCGTATGCATAAGCTGACTGAAAAACAGGAAAAAAATCGCGCCCGTGTTTACAAAAAAATTTATTCAAATTTTCTGTTATGGAATTAGAGTGACTTTTTGGTGACATTTGACGAAGTACTAATTTCTCTACAAAATACTAATTGGGTTCGAAGAGCTCACTACACTACAAATGCTGAAAACAATTAACGCAAGTTTGTGCCTCCCTGTGAGGAGAACTTTTTTAACAAGTTTATGGTCGTGGGTGCAATGTACGGTCGTGGTGTCCTCCCACTTATCAAAATCCCCCAAAAAGTAAAGGCATCTGCAAAGTATTATGTGGACCGTATATTGCAACCACTTTTAGAATGATATTTTCCTAAATTGTACAGTAAAAAAATAAATAAGGTAATGTTTCATGCTGACGCAGCGTCTTCCAAGACGGCAAAGTAGATCCAAAATTATGCAAAGGACCTTGAAGCTAGATTTGAGATAAAAATCACTTCGAATAGTGAAATACCTATACAATACCCTGATGTAACTCAAATTGACTTCTTTGAGTTCGGATACTCGAAAATTAAAATTTTTCTGCGGAGACCGAATTTTTTAGACGGAGTTTGGAAACAGTTAAAATGACTGTCTTGACTTCTTGCGGCTGTGGGGGAGGCATTTTTGAAAGTAGAGAGTTGAAGTTTTGCACACAACTATCTGAGGATAACATGCTCCTCTGTTCAAAATTTTGACCCGCTACGACAAACCGTTCCGGGGTTATTCAAGGCCAAAATCGTTATATTTTAAGCGCCTGACCCTACTGTATATGAATAGTTGTTCACCAATACTTATCTGTTATCTACCCGTCAGACTAGAAACCAACTGTCTGCAGAAGTCACCAGAGCCAGTGGCGGATCAGAATTTAAGGTTTTCATAAACCTTACAAAATCCTTTAAAATTTAACTGCCCGTAAATATCTACAATCACAAACATTTCAAAATACATTTTGAAATTGGGACTTTTGGATCTTTTAAAATTAAAAACATTTGAAACCCTCGTCACGTCACGCACGCCCCTGTATTCACATTCTCTTATCTTGATAATTAATCTAAATAACCCATTAATTCACTAATCAACATGGCTTCGCTGGAAAGTCCCCAAGTCTATTTATACATTAACCTTTTTGCCAAATTATATAACCAAGTGAAGCCTCTACACATTACCATCGCCCACTAACATATTTGAGTTTCACTATTCGCACTGTCACAGCTCCAAAATGTATCAAAAAGAATTTCTCCCCCTCCTCACTTCTCAAGTGAGGATGTGCCAACGTCTTAAATGCATACCTTTCGAATTCGACGAAAAATCCGGACGTTTCAAAATAACCAAGCGTTGTCAAATAATTCGTATTTGTAAGTTGCAATCCGTCCTTAGCGTGGTATATTGCGGGGCAATGTTGCTCAACATTTTCTACGGTCCGTTGACACTGCCCAAAAGGTTGCAGGGCCTTGTCTTACTCGTCACTTGTATTACTGCATCAATTACAAGATGGAATTGGTCAATCGACGTGGGCCCTATCCAAGTCATAAATGCGTTCCTGCAATTCGAAGAAAGAATTATAAAAAGTAAGTAAAATTTCAGATTTAGTAAAGATTTAGTACAGACTTAGTAAAGTTTTATTTCTAAATTTTTACCATATGATTTTATACTTTTGATTATTTCTGAAATCATTTGGATACCGTAAGTGCCAGTTTAAATTTATTGCATTTTTTTGCACTGACTATATTTGGATATGTATGACTTAGAGTTCACTTAACTTACTGATCTCCATAATTTGTATCTTATTTACTTCCAGATCTGCCATTCATGCCAATTTCAATGGGAACCAGGACAATGAAAATATTTATATTCTTGATACAAATATTTGAATTCGTATATGCAATTCTTCTATGGATCTTGCTACGATTCCTTCCCTGCACTCCTCCATTCATCTTGTCAATGTTTGAGAACTGCGGGGGTGCTGAGTTTGGTGGACTCGCGGAACTCGGGGTGCATATTTTCGAGACTTGGATGATTGCTCACATTCATTACTCTGGGACAACTTGGATTATACATGTTCTCTTTGTAGGAATATGTTTTATTCTGCACTACTTCCAACTACTGAGCAGGTCAAGACTCAACCTACCTAATTTCATAACAATATGTTCTAACGAACGTAGGAGAGTTATATATGCACTCCCCGATAACAGAGATTTTGGTAAAGATTTGACACAAATTAGTTCGAGTATAAGACTGCTTTTTATAAAACTTGTTTGCCAAAAGTAGGGCAAGGATTATGGAAACCCGATCACTTGGACTTTGGTCCTATAAGAGGTCAAAAACCTCTTCCAGAAGTCCAAAATTTGTGTAGAATACTGTACATATATATTGCCTTCTAGATCCTGAACAAAAAGGACTTAAGTCCATTTTCCATCTCGCATTGAATATTTTTCTTCACGCGCGCCGTTAATGCTTTTCTGGAAGACTTTGCTAATTTATTGCTAATTTTCTCCCCCCGGAACCGAAATTTTCTTGAAGTATCGACTGTCTCGCGAAGCTGGGAGTATGGCTTCTTACATACAGCCAAATTTTTTTTATTGAGTGGAGAGGAGGGGTGTATGTGGGATTTACATTTTTCAGCATAAAGTTGAATTTTTTTCGATTTCATCTTTCATAGTTGTTGCACTGTGGATTAGTCCAAGGTCGGTCCAAAAAATTACATTTTATATTTTATGATACCAGGCCCCGATTTAGGGGCGGGCAACACGGGCAGCCGCCCGGGGCGCGAAATCCTGGAGGGGCGCCGGCAGGCGCCCCGGTTACACTAGGTATAATGGAATTTTCCTGTTGTAAATTTTGAAAATCTTTTGCTTGGAGCTTTACTTTTATGAAGTTTGGACAACCCATTGCGACATGTGTTGATGCACCACAGCAATTTTTGAAACGTGCAGTTTCAAAATTTTCACTCACACTACAAATAGAGATAACTAATCCTACTTAAGGTCTAGTAAAATAGAGGACGACACGATTATTGGGTAAAATTTATTCATCCAGGGTGAAAATCGTATGTATGTCGAATTTGGCATAATTCTACACAAGTGGCCGGAAGAATGGTTTGTGCAGAAAAAGTATGAATAATTCTGCATAAACCTTCTTACAGGTATATTCTGCAGAAAGGTTTAGCACAATTATGCATAGTTCTGCATATTTTGTACACAAATTGATCCGGCATAAATTTTTCTGCATATAATCCAGCCAATTTCTGCGTAAAAT